TAGAACGACGTTGTATTGGGAACGAGCACGCTTACTTCTGAGCTGATGCCACTCCTCATTTAGCTTCAATATTATTTCATATTTTGTCTTAAATTTATTGATAAACAATACGGTTTTAACAATTTTAATACAATTCTGTGATTTTTTCTTGGTGATTTTTGTGATACTTATGTGTTAAATTTCATATAAATAGACAATACTTATCGTTTTATACCATTTAGACGTAGTTGGCTTATTCTTTTATACGACCAAAGTTTTTGGTTTTTATTGCCATGTTACAAAAAGATTTTTAAAAAGTTTTTAACAAATTATCTTAATCACTACCTCTTGAACAAAGACTTAACTTATTGCAAAGAGAAATTTAGCATACGTTTAATCGTTGGCTCATAGATTTTTTTTAAATTTCCGTTAATTTAGCAGATGTCGTTGCATTGATTTTTTCAGGTGTAGTCATTCTGTTGTTAGAATTTTACGTAACAAGGAAATTAGTATGCTGTAAACAGCATTCTTGAACTTGATAGTGTAAGTATGAGCTAATACTTATCAAGTCGTGTTAAAATTAGTAATAATTTGTTCCACCTTTTGCTCAAAATGTTTTTTTTTTTTTTTTTTTTTTAAACTACGGACTGTGTGTCTCAATTACAAAGGACTGTTGTATACAACACTCATAATTGCCATAACATTTTAATAACGTTGCAGTATACGTCTTGGTTCTTTAATATATACAGTTTAAACTGTAAAGCGATGTTTCAGTTAAAAAACCTTAATTACATGTTCATTTTAGCTTTCTTCAATGTTTCTTTTGTTTTTTAATGTACGTTTATCAAAATGTTTGTGTAATGAACTGCTAGTTTCTAAAACTCAAATATTTCTTGTTAAAGTAGGGGTAAATCTACTCCTTTAACAACAGTCGAATTTCTAAATAAATTACTTAAGATAAGTTTTAAACTCGTTTAAAATCTTTAAAACCATTATGCTTAAGTGGTTGGTACCTAGAGTTAACAGAAGATGGATTTCTTCTAGCGTGTGTGTTACCCGCTAGTGACTTATATGGACAACATTTTTTAATGTATAAATGATAAGGGTGTTCATGAGAAATATATTAAAGCTGCGTTAACTGTCTTATTTTAAAACTCTTGTTCATTGACAAGCTTCGAAAATCTCACAGGCAAGGTGTTATTTAAGGAATCATTTTATTAAACCATCAGAAGCCCTAAAGAGCTCTTTTTTATTGTGACTTTTGTCACTGCTTTCTTAAATGAATCTACGCATCTTGGACCACGAAAATAAGCATTCTGGTAAGAAATGCGGGATTTAGTTTGCCATTTTTTTTTAAAGGTTTTTGTAGTTAGTAACAATAATAAATTGTTTTTGACAGCTGAATTTATTTGGAAAACTATTTTTTTGCCCAATAACAGCATGGAAAAGTACTTTTCTGACTGTAGCATTTTTCTGTCGGATTTATAAAAGAATACCTTTTATAAGAAATTAAGGTACAAAATGTGCCACGATGGTTAACAATCGGATAATTGGTTCAGTTGCAAAATTCAAATAATCGCTAAAATAGCGGTTTTTAAAATTTGTTTATAATTAATAAACAATCAATCTCAAACGTCTTATAATGCAAAGAAATTAAAACGCGAAGCTCTTGTATGGCACTACACCTCCTCCTAACCTAGATGTTATATGTTTAACTGTTTTCGCACAATTGCAATTGTTTATAAAAAAGTGATTTTTTGAAAATTAATTTTTTCTGCAGGATGGCATTCTACAGTGTCTAGCAGGAGCTATCTTTATTTGTAAATAATTCTACTGAACATTTCTGGTTGACTTCGTTTAATTTTCGCAATAGATAAATGGTAAAATGCGCTGCAAAAAAACGCTTTATTGCAAATTAAATACTATCAACAATTTAAGAAAATCTGTACTGGACCTTTTTTATCAAAAATATTTAATCATTCTCTAAATTTCAATTAAAAAAAAAACTGTACGACCCACAGAAGCTCAGATAACTTAATACTTATATTTAAAAAAAAAAAAATTGATAATCATTAACTACTGATTTCCATTGAAAACACAATGCAAAAGTGATGGTTACTTGCGTGGTGTCCATCCCAATCGAGGCTTGGGGTCACCCCCTCCTCTGCAGCTGCTTACGTGCGGCTGACGCAGAATCTGATGTCGCGCGCTCAAAACCGCTTGTGGTCGAAAAATCATTGATATCTTGGTTTCCGTAAGTTGTGAAGCGACATTTTTTTTAACTGGGGTAGGTTGTGAAAATATTACATTCTGTGCACTTTATGTTTGATTCAAAGGTTATTTTCAGATTCTAGTGAGCCTCTTTTAATGAACCATTTTCGATACAACATAAGTGCGTATTTCTATTGATGTAATACCTCTTTGCCTTGAATTACCTGTGGTATCTTTTTGACTAACTCTAAAAAATTTATGGTGTAACAATTTGTATCTTATATAACTTTTTGACAAAACGTATGATGTTTGGTATTAATTGCATTATTGCGTTCAAGCAGCAACTCTTTAAAGATGGAATAATTACACGACAATTATGATTTTGTATGAAAAATTTTATTTTGTCTATCTTATATAATTAAAATAAATAATCAACCTGTTTTTTTTCTTTTTTTTTCGTTTAGATAAAAATTAAGAAAGTACTAGTACCTGAAAATTATGTTATTTTAAAACTTACAGAAAATATGACGTCATAAAGTATGTATTATACACGAATGTTCTACGATGAAGTACAAAAAAAATGAGCCCAGTATATAAAAAACGCTTTAAAACTACATTTTAAAAGTAGAGCATTTGCAAAAAAGTATCAAGCGTACATACATGACTTTTGTATTATCTTTTCACTGGAAATCGGTAGTTTTTTTTTTTTTTTTTTTATACCGGGTTACCACAACAGCCTACTAGGCCTAATCGCGGGGGCCATCCACTCACCACCTATGTGTGGGGGTGTATTGCCACACCCATCTCTAAAACCTTTTTCCTCGCCTCCTACCTGAATCCATGGACACAGTGTGAGTATCTCCGGTGGAACACCTTGCCAGTTAAGCTGACACTCTGCACCAATGGTGCATTGGTTCCACTCACCACTGTGTAGCCTTTCCCCGGAGAAGACTCCATTATTCCAGGACGTCCACTCCTCGCCGGTTAAGCCGGCGCTCTCTGCCGAAGCATCGGATCCAGGCTAATTAGCATCCCCGGAGAAGCCCCGTTGTTTCAGGGGCCACTCCTCGCCGGTAAGGCCAGCGATCCCTGCCCGACGCCTGGCATCGGGTCCGCTAATCCCTACCTATAGCCCTAACACTGTTTCGCATTTACCCAGGCCCGAAGACCTGTGGGGCAAGGAAAAAACCCTGGAATTACTCTGAAGGAAAATTCCACGGAAAAACCCGCCCCGAAACAGCCGGGGTTTTATAGGAACTTTTCCCGATGAAAACAGTTTTTGAAAAAAATCTGCATTCACCCGGAATCGAACCCACGACCCCTAGAACTGCGTTGTATCAGTAACAAGCATACTTACCACTGAGCCAACGCCGCTCTGGAAATCGGTAGTTAATGATCATCGAATTTTTTTTTTTTTTTTAATTATAAGTATTAAATTGTCTATAAAGTAGCTTCTATGGGTGGTAGAGCATTTTTGTTTCATTTTAAATTTAAAAAATAATTCAACATTTTTGATAAAAAAGGTCCAGTACAGATTTTCGTTAAATTGTTGATAGTATTTAATTTGCAATTAAGTGTTTTTTTACAGCGCATTTTACCATGAACCTATTACGAAGTCAACCAGGAATGTTCAGTAAAATTCTTTACGAACAAAATAAGCTTCCGTTAGACACTGTAGGATGCCATCCTGCTGAAAAAATTATTTTTCAAAAAACCACTTTTTTTTAAAGAATTGCAATTGTGCGAAAACAGTTAAACATACAACATCTAGGTTAGGAGGAGGTGTAGTGCCATACAAGATCTCCGCGTTTTGATTTCTTTGCATTATAAGACGTTTGAGATTGATTGTTTATTAGTTATAAACAAATTTTAAAAACCGTTATTTTAGCGATTTTTAAATTTTGCAACTGAACCAATTATCCGATTGTTAACCATCTTGGCTCATTTTGTAGCTTAATTTCTTATAAAAGGTATTCTTTTATAAATCCGACAGAAAAATGCTACAGTCAGAAAAGTTAGGAGGAGGTGTAGTGCCATACAAGAGCTTCGCGTTTTAATTTCTTTGCATTATAAGACGTTTGAGATTGATTGTTTATTAATTATAAACAAATTTTAAAAACCGCTATTTTAGCGATTATTTGAATTTTGCAACTGAACCAATTATCCGATTGTTAACCATCGTGGCACATTTTGTACCTTAATTTCTTATAAAAGGTATTCTTTTATAAATCCGACAGAAAAATGCTACAGTCAGAAAAGTACTTTTCCATGCTGTTATTGGGCAAAAAANGCAAACAAAGACTTTTCAAACTCGTAGAAAAACTACTATTATTCTAGATACTGACTATAAAAAACTTTTAAAATAAGTGGTAAACTAATTTACACACTTTAAAAAAAAAAAAAACACACATCGGAGCGTCTTTCTTTCCGGGTCTATCTGTCTGTTTCTAACTTATTACACATGTTAATTAATATATTAGTCAATATCCGAAGAAATAACACTTTATATGAAAAAATCACTATCCTCAAGAAGACTGCTGCCACTGATTTAAGAATGAAGAGCTATAAAAATTAGTAGAAAATCAATTAATCATCCTGGTAAGACTGTTGACTCTAAACCATCAATTCTATGATTGAATCTTAATGATCCTGAATAACTATAATGAACTAAACTGCTGTTTAATTATTAAGTTACATTATATATTTCATACACAAAAAGTTTGTCAAAATATAATGTATACTCGTAAATTTTAAATATTGTCATAAATTAAAACTTAATACTACATTTTTTAAATTAATTTTGACAATAGGATGGAGAACTTTCTCAAGACTTATACACATTTCACGAAGCTGTATCTGCATTACAAATGTTAGAAGAAGAAGTATTAGACATGCATAAAATAGTTATTGATCAAACGACCAAATTTTTGAACTCTGCACATAGCATTTTTAGTATGACACATGAAGTTGATTATGATCAAGAAGGTAAATTTATGAATTTTCTAACTTACAAGTTCTTATTCTTATTTCGCATTGAAGTTATTTTTTGTAATTAATAGTCTGTTGTTTAATATTATCGTCATGTCAGCGTAGATTACTTTTTTAAAAAATTTGTTTTTTATAAATTTCTTAATCTGAAAGGTGTGCTGTAACATTTATCAAGTATTAAATTAGTTCTATATGTCGTTACCAAAATATCATTAGCGTTGTAAATAACAGTTATCAGTACTAAAAAAGGCAAAAAACTAGAGAGATAAAGTAATGAGAGAAATTATATTTTGAACGACACATAAGTACAATTTTATAGTAACGCTGAGCATAAAAATTATTGTTTTAGTCTAATTAAAATCTGAATGTTCAATGATTATTAAATGGATATTGTTCTCATAATAATAACTATTTGTTACAGCCTCATTAGTTGATAGTAAAGCTTTTGATTTATTTTTAATAGTAAGGAAGAAAAGGAGTCTATAGAGCATTATCCATTCTACGTAATAGTTGAAATATATACTCAGAAATTTATGTATCCTCAAGAAATTAATCATGCGATGCATCAACACCTTGTAATTTTATAGTAGTGTAAAGTTAAGATGCGAAAAAATTTATCTCAAATCATTTACTTCTTTCCTGTGTCTTATTACATACACTTGTAGTTTATGAAAATTTCAGTATAGTTTTTTTTTGTGGATAACATTCTGAAATTCAAAGTGATTGCTGGCTTTTTTAGCTAACAAGGGCTTGTTATGCACAGCCAAAAAAATTTTGTAAAGAATGGGGGAGGATATACCTAGTATTTGCTTCGTCGAGCTATTTAAAATAGTACCACCTTCAGGGGAAAATGTGTCGATACTAACTAACAAGAATACACTTTTATAGACAATGATCTGTTTTAAGCGTTTATTTCAACAATGATGTAACTTTCACAACTGATGTAATTTCTTTGGATGTTGAGTATATTGCTGTGTTTTGTGAAGGAGTGTTGCGGTTTTTCTTGAATATCAACTCAATTCATAGAGTACTTTCAAGTCAGCACATTAAAAACTAATATATATTATGCTCACTCATATATTATATCCATTTCATCCGAGAAATTTACTTTTTATAATGACAAAATGAAAAAAGCAGTTTTTGCTATTATAATGGTACCTAAGACTAAAAAAACTTTATTTAGTCACGAAAGATATATTACTGTTGAAACAAACGCTTGTAAAAAACATTGTTCGTAAGGGGCTGAGTATTATTGTTCTTTAGTATCGACATCTTTTCCTCTGCGGGATGTTGTTTTAAATTGCTGTACGAAGCGAGTGACACCTTCGTCCATCAGAGTTATTATTGACCATTTATCAATTTCAACTACTGACAGCAGAAAAGGGCAGTAATAATTGGTTATTACAAGGGTATCTTAGTGATGTATGAGTAGAACAAATTTCTCTACTTAATTTATGAACTTGGTTCATTAATTCTTTGAATAAATTATAAGTATACTCTCTTCAAATAATGTTTCATGTCACTAGAAGTTAACTTGATGAAGTTGTAGTAGTTTTTGTTACATGAATGGCATCACTGCCCATGCGGCGCCAGTGCCCGAAAAATTGCTGAATAGCATTGGTTAAATATCATTTGTTTGGCAAGCGTGTTTTTTTTTCAAGTTTGCAGCATACATCTAAAGTTAGAAAGAAAAACCTGCTGAGTAGAAAATAGTAGTTTTAGGATCCTGGGTGTAAAGTAAAGAAGTCCAACCCTGCAGTTTTAAGGGAAAAAGAGCAGCATAACCTTCTCAGTAAAACTAGCAGTTACTGCTCACTAGAAAAATATTTTGGCGTAGATATAAAAATAACTTTAAATGAACAGAAAAGACATATTATAATAATACGTAAGGTATTTCATAGATTTTAATACAAAGGGGATATTAGCTCCACGTTTAAAGTAAACTTTAGAGTCCCTAGTTAAAAAAAAGATTCAAGGCACACCTACGGAGTGCGGTTTTTTTCTTTCCCATGCATCCAGAAATACGAGAAAATTCGTGAACATGCAGAAAGTAGAGGAAGACTAATTTTTTTAGCTTTTCTAGAGTAATTGCTTAAAAAAACAAAAAATTTGATCAATACAAAAAAATTAGAATATTCCGCTTATAAATTTTTCTATATAAGCTATCGAAATTCTGTGAAGAGGCTTTCAAAGCGCTTGAAGAAAGCTTTTAAATAAACAGTAATTAAGTGAAATTGCCAAGTTCGCCGAAAAGTATAGGTGTTTAAAATTTAGGCTTCAAATGAAAGAAACAATTTCAATTCAAGCAAAAAATACTTTGAACTACCTCAACTTTTGACCACCTTAATATTCTTGACTTTATCAGAGCTCAAATTAAAGAATTTCTTACAAGCTGTCAAAAAAGTCTTGTTTGCTCAAAAATATTTGTTTGTGAAAAGTTGTGGCTGAGTTAAGTTTTGATTTTTTAACAGAAAGTACTGATCTTGATAATTTGAAAAGTAATTTTAACTTCATTGGTGCCTTAATTAAAGTGCTTGGAAGAAGCATTAATTTTAGCTTTGTTGAAGTCCCAAGTAATAATTTAATAACAACCTACGGTTAATGATTTCTTACACATCACATCATTAAATCAGGCTTCTGTCGATTTTTTCGAAAATTACTCAAACTCGTCGATAATTATACTTTCATCATAGTTTTTAACACTAGTAGTTGTTTATACGCTTTGTGTATGAAATAAAAATTTTGACACAATCATTTTCTTCAGTCTCGATCTTGACGATTTTTAAAGCAATTGAAAACCAGCCGTAACTTCTGATATAATCATCATTTTGTAAAAATTGTATAGTACATAATGCATACATCTTGCACAGTAAAAGTCAGGAATAAATATGTTAACACAATAAGTCTGTCACCTTCTTTTTTCATAATGAAATACCGTTTATAAGCTTTCTGCAAACGAAGCTTCTTACATTTCTCATAATTTTGATTTTTATTAACAATAATGCATTTTTTACGCAGGCCATGCATTTAAATGATGGTTGCAAAAATTGTACTTTATAGACGAAGCGTCAATAAACACCCACTAGTGTTAAGGATTTCGATAAAAGTAGAATTCCTGGTGAGTTTAAGTAATGTTAGAAAAAATCAGTAAAAGCCTAATTTAATTATGTAATATGTAAGCCAATATTAACCGTAATTTCTTATTAGATTATTATTCTATACTTCAACAAAGCCTAAATTAAAGTATGTTCTGAGCACTTTATTTTAAGCTCCTATCAAGTTAAAAATAATAGTCATCTCGACAATTACGGATGGTTTTCAATTGCTTCTTAAATCATCAAGAACAATACTTTTTGTTAAAAAATCCAAACTTAAGTCAGCCATAACTTTCCACCTAACGAATATTTTTGAGCAAACTAAGACTTAGATAAAAGCTTATTAAAAGTACTTTAATTTGAGCTTCGGTACAGTCAAAATTATTAATCTGTTTAGAAGTTACGGTGGCTTAAAGTAATTTTCGCAGAAATCGACCAAAGTTACTTATTTTTATTCGAAGCCTAAACTGTATTTTTCGACGAAGTCGACGTTTAAAATCTAATCATTGCTCAAACGAAAGTTTTTTTGAAGCACTTTAAAAACCTTTTTATAGAATTTTGATAGCTTACATAGAAAAAAAATTGTAAGCCTAAGAGTTCACCATTTTTTGTATTGATCAAACTTTTCGTACTTGGAGGAAATTTTCCCAAAAAAGCTAAAAAAATTAATCTTCCTTTACTTTTTGCATGTTCACAAACTTCTTCGTGTTTCTGAATAAGTAAGGAAGAAAAAAAATTGCATTTTGTAGATGTGCTTTGACTTTTCTTTTTTTTTAATAACTGGGAACTCTGAAGTGTACACTAAATGTGAAATTGCACAATTATATTGTAAAGAGTTATTCCCCTCATACTAAAATTAATCAAGCACCTTACTTATTAATATTATAACATTGCTTTACTATTTGTTTTTAATTGCTATTATACTTGATAATAACAAGTTAAGATATGCTAAATTTATCAAGTTGAATTCAAAGACTACGCACAAAACAAATAATACGTTCTATAAATCACGCACCGTAAGATGGATAATCTATGTGCAAGAATTTTTAACGAATACGTGGAATCGATAGTGCGTAGAAAAATGACGTAGAGTATGTTAGCGACTAATCTGCAAATCGCCTATAAAAGGCAGTGACGAGTAAGGAAAAGAATCCTTTTCCAGCAAGTCTAGAATGCGCAGATCTGCTGTACATCCAGATCTGGACTCTCCCGTACACCGTTACAAACCGTGACTCGTGCTTGCTCAGTGAACTAAAAACAGGACACGGAAGCAAACGGATTTAAAGTGAGTGTAAGTATATCTATAGTGTATTATAACCAGCGTATATTTAGACTTTTGGTAGTCGACCGCTTTTTTGCGTAAAGACGACGCACCCCAAAGTATTCGACAGTATCTATGGTGGGCGTTCCTCTGATAAAGCATCAAAGTCGATTACTCGAGCAGTACTCTTGTGCAAGGGCCTCGAGAAAAACGTAACTCAACATGACCTCTTTGTGATAGGTGCAGAGCCCTTCACTAACACGTCGTGGCTGGGCTAACACTCTGATCAAGTTAAACTAATTGTAAGTAGAACTATACTAGAAAAAAGCTCAAGTGCTAGAATTTAAAAAATTACTTAATCCTCTAGTTTAAATTATTCATATCTGGTGTGGAAATTTTTCATGTTCACATATACGTGACAATTTTAAGTGGATTCTGGTCTCTTCTCAGTCTTCCACTTAAAATAAATAAAATTATTAACGTTCTCATAATTGCGCTAATAATTCGAGTTAATAAGGTGTCGATTTAATAAATAATCCCCTTATTGTACAAACCGATATAAAATTTAATAAAAAAAAAAAGATTACCACAATTTTTAGGTGTGCTTAATTGAAATAAGGTGTACTAATTATAATAAGTTG